CATATGGACTGAAGAAGAAGAAGACACAAGACTGGAGACTGCCATTGAAGAACACGGATATTGCTGGTCAAAGATTGCCACATGTATGTCTTCACGAACTGATAACCAGTGTTGGAGGCATGAAGAAGATTTTAGCTATCGGGTTTAGGTTGCACTTGAAATAGTTAGTGTCTAGTTATATGTTTCTCGTTGCCATAAAGCTACACCTCGCTGAAGATTGATCTTGAGAATGATCTCAAGTTTGATTTTGTGGTTATTGTTATATTTGTGCATACCAATACCATGTTTTGTTTCTCTGTTCAACCTCTTAACTGCAACTTCTGTCTTTTATAAAGGAGGTGGAAAACGTTGCATCCTGAAGCAGTGCCTTTGCTACGAGAAGCTAGAAAAGTACGTAAAGCTGCTCTTATATCTAACTTTGTAGATCGGGAATCTGAGCGACCTGCCCTTGGCCCCAATGATTTTAATATTCAATTACCAATTATAACTGCAGCATCTGAACCGGAAAACACAAATCGGCCAAGTAAAAGGAAACGAAAGAAAAACGACCTAGCTGTCTCAGTACCAATGATAGCTGCAACTCCTGAGCCTGAAAATATGAATCTGCCAAGGGAAGGAAAAAGGAAACGAAGGTATGACAATCATGCTATGTTTCATTTTTAACTTATTCTTCTGATTCTAGTTTGATTCAGCTTTTTTGTTTTATGCAGAGTTAGTAGGCCGGACTCTGACAAGGAAAATGCTGCAGCAAGAAGTTGAGACTTTTTACATCCAATTTCATTGCTCCTTACTCAACAGAATGAAGAAGTTCCTCTAGTATCATTTTGCCTGTTATCATTCCTACTTCAGTACTTGTATTCACTCAAATTATGATTTTCCTGTTTAACCATATTATAACTCGTTTACGATCTCGTACTTTGCTCCTGTGCTACAGGCTTTCCCCAGAAAAGAAGAGCCACAGGAGATGTAGAAAAGGAGCTGAAGCTGGTCTTGTTGAAGTTCTGGGGATAATCGATGAAAATGAGGCTGAGGCTGCTAGTGGGCATGATTCTGTTAGGAAGATTAGAAGAAATTCACCTTCGGAGAATAATAATTGTACTAGGGATGCCAGAAAAAACCCGAATCCGATAGAAAAAATCGAAAATCGAATTTAACGGGTCGGGTTCGGGTTCGGGTTCGGAGATGATAAACGGAGACGGGACGGGGAAAACCCGTTTATGTTAAACGGGGACGGGTTTGGTAATCCCGCCCCGATTACCCGCCCCGATTACTCGGCCCGATACCGACCCGATAAATATTAAAAATAATTATTTTTTTATATATAATATTAATAACATATTTTAAATTAACCTTTAAATATTTTTTATTATTTTTTTCACCCATACTGCCCCACTTTAAAACATCGTCCCCGCTTCAATTTCTAGAATTTACCTCAATTTTCATTGTTTCATAATATTCTTTTTTTCTTTTAATCGTGAAAATAGTACTTACACTTCTTGTTTGTAATCACGTGTGAACCTTTAATATCTTTTAATAGACAAATATTGTCTAGTTAAATGGAAAAAGTCTGATTGGTTTGGTGGTATTTTGTCACTTCCAACGAACGTGTACTTGTTGTAGGGTCCTCGTTCAGTACATTATTACACACCTGAAGCCCACCACTAACATTGGCAAGCTGGAACTTATGTCCAGCAAAATTTAAAATCAATGCAACTTACATATTGTCTTCGTCTCTTCGACAGCAACCCTCATTTTCACCTCGCAATCCAATAACCTCATACAAGATGTCTCCATTATACAAGTTTTAACGTTCCTATGACAAAGCGAAATATGTGAATTAGCCATATTAAAATCAGCCTCGGGACTTATACCAACATCACGTTCTTCCCTAGCAAATGGAACAACAGCTGCTCTCTAGTATTAAATTCGAAAATTCTAAAAAATTTCGGTAAAAATTAACCGAATTAACCGAAATTTATTCGGTTCGATTAATATTTTCGAAAAATTTTTTTACTTCAATTAACGGTTAAAGAAAAAAAATTCGATTAATAATAGTTCAGTCGGTTCGGCCACCGAATTAACCGAATGAACAACCCTACCGATATCCGTTTAAATAAACGTTTATGCTAAACGGAAATACCCGTTTTCCCGCAGTTTTTCCCGATTACCCGATGGGATCCCCGTTTAAATCCCCGCGATTTTTAAAATGAGAATAAATACCGATTTTTTAAATGGAAACGGACACCAATACCCGACCTTTTGCCATCCCTAAATTGTACTGAACCAGCACAAGATGTTACCTTTAAAAAGAAAAGAAAGAGAGAACCGCCTTCAGGAAATAATGATCATACTGAACAACCAGCACATGTTGCTATTCAAGAGAAAATATGACAACCACCTTCAGGACATACTGATTACAGTGACCAAGTGCAGGATGATGCTGTTCGGACGGAGAAAAGAAAACAACAGCCAGAGAGTAGTAAATGCGTTGAATCAGTGCAGGATAATTCCTCATCTCACCCGCTTTCAACATTGTGTATGACCACCAATCATCAGGCTGAATCATTAGGTAGCAGTCTTACTGTAAAGAGGAGAAAGAATCACAGAGGGGCACCTAAACAGTGTTCCGAGAGGATTGTAAACGAATTGCATGAAGAACAGTGTTCAATCTGTTCAGAGAATTCTGTGTTTTCAAGAGGTGATGACGGTGCTGAAGTGGTGCAGAACAGTAGTGTAGAGTTGGAAAATCGTGGTGCGGAGGATGCTTCTAAGAAGAAGAGTTTTACCAAACCAAGATCCAAGAGGAAAACATGCACGACTGTATCAAACTCACAATGTTCAAGGATCGTTGAAGCTAAGGATTCAGCAAAGAAAAATACGAAAAAGAGGAGAACTTGGCAGCAGCACAGCAAGAGCAGAAATATCGACAAGCAGTCTGGAGACGAAGATCACCAGACGCTTGCTTGCTCTCTTCGCAATAAATCGAAGAAGAGAAGGCAAGGAACTGTTGAAAACGCTCAGTTGTCAACTTTGGAAGGGACGGGTGACCGCAGCCAGGTCGATGATGTGGTGAGGGAACCAGACAAACTGATTGAGGAAGACATGACCCTTGCATGTTGGTGCAAGCAGTTAAAGAAAAGGCGGGTAACCATGGCACAAAGAGGCGACACGTCCAAATAAAAGGTTGGAAAATAAGTACATATGGAATGATTGATTCCACCTGGGACCTAAGAGCTCCGAATATTTCTTTCCTTTATATGTTTCATTGGACAAAGAGTAAATAGATCGGAATAATACCAAAGGATGTCATATGCCGTGACCTAGTACAAGAAATAGAGATCCCAACATAAGACCTAGAGATACGAGTTTGAGTATCGAGTCCTCTAGGTCTAGACGTTGTTCTAATAGATAAGATTCATCAACCATACCCGGTAGAGATTCAGGATCAAATCTTCCTACCTTTCCGAGAGTTTGACATTATCTTTTTATTAAATGGCATTTTTTAGATATAATATTTTTTTTATCTTTGAAGGGCATTTGCCCGGAGAGGCTAATTTGTAAACCCCTCAAGTGGGGTGAGTGTTAGAGTTGAGTAGTTTTTTTTTTTTTTTACCAATTTGATAACTTTTATTTCGTTATTTTAATTTATCATCTATAATTACACATATGTTCTAAAATATACTTGCATAATGTATCATATTGCATTTCATTCTAGGACCGGAGTTCATTGTATATAATATGTATATGTATTATTTGTAATAGTTTCATCCATTCTGCAAATTCCCCTTTTTATTTACATAATTACTTTATTTTTAATTCAAAATAAATATTTTTTTTATCTAGATAACTGAACTTCTTTACTTTATCTATATACAAAAAATTTAATCAACATTCCATGTCAATCTTAAATAGAAAATAACATACATGTAAAAAAAACACTTCAACAAAACATATTACATGCATGGGATGCCTATTTTTTTTAAAAAAATAATATATAAAATATTTAATCAAATAGCCCTATAATAATTAATATAAAATTCACAATCCTATTTATTATCGTTTAATTTATCGGGTGAGAGTTGTTAAAAAAAATAACCACCTTCTCCTTCCCCTTTCTCTCTTTTTCCCCCCTACAATTTGTGTTAATTTCTATAGATTAGATCAATTTTTTCTTTAATTTTATTTAGTCGGCGGCGGTATCGGATTTGATGCTGGGTTCTAATCGTATGTTATATTTTTTCTTTATTTTTTTAGTTTTTAATAAGAATAATTTTATCTTTATGACACGTTTATCTCTATTTTTATTACACGTTTATCTCTGCCTATGTGGGACGTATTTCTCTGCCTTTTGGTAATTTTTGATCATTTGGTCGTTGTTTTCATTCATTTATTTTCTCATTGTGTTTATTTGTTATCATATTGATATTTCTTACTTTATACCCTCGAATTGATTTGGATACGCATTTTGTATTTATGAATAATTTTTTCATGTCGATTAACATTAATTTATGATTTGTCAGTAGTCTTTCAATAGAATCATCCTTTTGTAATTCATTTACCGATACAATTAAATTTGTTCGAACATTGATTAAGTTTTTTAATATTTATTTTTTGGTCTTTGTGAGACCGTGATTAGTTTTTGTGTTGATTATAAGAAAATATCTCAATTATAATTTAATTTATGTTTCCGCTTATAAATCATTGTAATTTTGAATATTTTTATTTTTAATAAAACTAGCAACTTTATAAAAAAAAATTCACAATCCATCCTTTCACAAATTGATTGCAGGAAACACATTAGTCCATATACTTTTTATTTATAATTAAAACAACATTGTATTACAACACAAATTCACTTCCATGTAATATAATAATAAGAACAGCGTTAGTAGTTATATTTTATTTATTAATTGAATTATTTAGGAAGAGAAGTGCGTTGGATATAGTAAAACAACTAAATTTAGAATATCTAACTTTAACAACCAAACCCAAAACAGAGAGAATAGTGCACATCCGAACAAAGCAAAAATAACTCGAAAGATCCAACATTTTGAACAAAGGCTTTGAAAATGCAACGGCAGTTGTTTCATATTGTGATTACTCACTCGAGGCAAGGCATGCGAGTAGTCTAGTATCGACCAATTCCCCAAACTCTGACTACCCCATCTGTATAACCACTAAACAAAGTGCTTCCATCGGCGCTCCAGTTCAAGCTCGTGCAATATATCACCTGCAAATTCAAATGCTCAATTCTTTCTTCTCTTCTATTTGCAATAACCATAAATATAATTCCATCAGTTGAACAACGCCAATTGCTGAATTAAGAGCAACTCAAAACAGGGAATCCATGAGACTCAAACTCGGGTGTGATTAATCTTTCATAGTTTTTTCCATGTATTTGGAGGATCTAGAGAGGTCATATCCCCAATATCCATGTGTGTGTGTTGTTCCGGGGGGGGGGGGGGGGCAAAAAATGAAGTGTCCAACAGAATATAGAGAAGAACAAAGAAACCAATCCAGAACGAGACAAGCTTGATTATAGTAAAAGCTTTACCATTTGACTTGGCGAGTAACATAATGACAAGTTCAAAGCTTTGAGCTTTATAAAAATAAGCATGATAATGTTCGCAAATGCAGCCTTAACATGAGACATGAACATGCCCAATTGGAAAATAACTCCCAATCAACAAACTCTAATATTTATGGGCATTAAATTTAAAGTGAAAATGCTTGCCTGCATATTTTCATGGTAAACGGCATTTATCAAACAGCTAAAATTCTCTGTGTTCAGCATAAACAGAAGAATACAGAATCATAGTTAAGCTACACAGTACTTTCATGCAAACTGTGACATTGAAATAAAAACAAAAGTTCGGTAACAAACGATGAAACATAAAGCAAAATTATAAAACTTGAAAGAATAGTTATAATAAAAGACATTATTACCTTCTTCTTGTTTGCATTATCGGTGACATCAGATTTCTCAGCCTCGGCCTTGAGATCAACCTTCAAGTCCTCCACAATGCTCTTGCTCTCCAGATCCCAGATCTTGATACTCTGCTCAGTGGCAGCGCAAAGCCAGTACCTGTTTGGACTGAAGCAAAGCGAGTTAATGACAGAACCAGCATCGAGACTGTAAAGCTTCTTTCCTTCAGCCAAATCCCAAAGAAGAATCATTCCGTCTTTTCCTCCACTAGCACACAAAGACCCATCAGGAGAAACGGCCACCGAGTTCACATAACCGGAGTGTCCGGCCAATGTGTTACGAAGCTTACAATTAGTCAAGTTCCAAACTTTCACAGTCTTATCCCACGAAGCTGACACAATAGTGGGCTGGAGAGTATTCGGGCTGAAACGAACACAGCTAACCCACTCGGTATGTGCATCACCATCTTGGATAGTGTATTTGCACTCCCCAAGTGTGTTCCAAAGCTTGATGCTTCGATCACGTGAAGCCGAAACGATCTGACGGTTGTCAATCGAAAAGGCAACTGAGAGCACATCCTTGGTGTGTCCGACGAAACGACGAGTGGAGATTCCAGCGTTCAAGTCCCAGAGTCGAAGCTCACCGTCCCAAGAACCGGAGAGGGCGAACTGGGAATCGGAAGAGAGGACAACGTCTTGGACGAAGTGGGAGTGACCAGTAAGACGGCGGCGAGCGACGCCGTAGGTCTTTTCGTCTTTGGTCAAGTGCCAAAGGATGATGGACTTGTCGCGGGAGGAAGTGACGATCATGTCGGAGTTGTCGATGGGGGTGGCGATGGCTGTGACCATGTCGGTGTGGGCTCGCATGGTGCCGCGGAGAACCAATCCTTCGGAAGCCATTGTCGTTGGCGATATCCGCGGCGGCGGGAGCTTAGGGTTTTGAAGGAAAAAAAATGAAAGGCCGAGAAGGAGGTTGGGAAACGAAAATGAGTGCGTATAATAAGCTTATATAGTACCTGTCTACTAGAATTAGGGTTTCGCTAGTTGCAAACTGAAGTTCTAGTTTGATTTCGGTTAATTTTTTTAGCTGTAAGAGTAAATTACTAGTTAAGTCATTTATCTTTATGTAAATACCCCGTATGTCATTTTTGTTTAGATTTCTTCTTATTTTGATCAATACATTTTCATTTATTGTATTTTCATCACTTAAGTTATAATTTATTACTCAACCCATGCCAACCAAACTATCAAAGTACATTGTGGATGACGTGTTGCTTGCTTGTAAACTGGTTAATGGGTATGACATGAAAGGAAGGTCTCTTAGGTTCACCATAATAGTTTATCTAAGAAAGGTGTTTGACTCGGAGTTTCTCCTCTAAGTTATAAGGGTATGTTTAGTTCACGAAATATAAGATTACTTCTGAGAATAAGATTTTTCAAATATAATGTTATCCGAAAATTACTAAAAATATTATATCACCATGTTTTTTTTATTTAGTGAGAATGTAAGATGGTATATTATTAGCAATGTTACATATTTCATATCCGAATTCATATCAAATTATCAAGTATACAAGCATGAATGCCTTCACAACGGAACTGACCATCCAAATTAGCGGCTACACCAGCAATGCTTGCAAAAGTATGCTGATTAGGACTTACCCGTTTGCGCCTCGCTAGGCAAAACAGCTCAGATGCTTCTTCAATCTGGCCTTGCTCATCGAGGCAGTCGATCATTGCACTCGAGGCTACTATGTCGCGTCTTTGAACGATATTAAAGACCATAAGTGCATCCTTAGGCAGACCGCATTTTGAATACATGTCAAGAAGGTAACAATCAACAAAATCCATCATACTCACAACCGTTCTTAATCAGCAAAAGAACGCACAATCAAAATCTCCATTTTAAGTCTACCTAGTACGTACAACTTTTGAGCTCATTTGACAGAGTAAACTTATACATCTTTAGAGAGTATCCACTAAGCAATGCATTCCATGAGACAATAAACCTTTTATCCATGCAAATAAGCATTCTCTCTGCCAGTTCCATTTCAGCATATTTCGCATAGAGATCAACAAGAGAGGGCCCATCAAAACCCCAATTTTTACACCTTCCCCATGCAACAATGTCCCAGAAATCAACTTTGAACTCAAAGAACAAGCTTTCAAAGAAGTCACTAAGCAATGCTCAATGGGGAAAACACCATCCTTCTTCATTAAACAATACAAATCCAACACATGATATCCATAACCTTCATAAACTAAACCAGAAAACAGAGTAATCCAAGACACAACATCTCTTTCAGGCATTCTATCAAGCACTTTACTAACATATCCAAAGCTCCCACATTTTACACAAACTTTCACTAAAGAGTTCCAATGTTCCATGAATGCAAATCTGGCTCAAACCCAATTCTTATTATCTTCCCATGAACAAATTTGGCTAAACTTAAAGACCCTTTTGAAGCACAATCAAGTAGAATCTTGGAGTAAACTTTTTTTTCAATAGCATGGAGCAAATATAAATGTATTTATTTAAATATTATTATTCAAGTACACTTAAATAAATTATCTAAAAAATAAAGCGGGTTCGATTACTTAACTCTGTTCTGCGTTTGTGGACTGGGTTCGTGGGCCTGGAGGAGCCTTTATCACTTAGTAATCCAAAATCAGATTTTGATTTAGTGGGAAAACTAGGATTGTTTTTACGCTCTCCGTCACTCTCAACTCTCGAGGTTAGGATATGTATCTTCTTTATTGAATTTTGAATAAATTTGTGAAATTGGAAACAATATCTTGAAAATTTCAATCAAAGAAGTCATCTTGGCTAAAATTGCAATGATTTTTCCTGTTATTCGATGCGTTTATAACTGGTTTGGGTGATATTTTAGATGATCTATGGATAAATTTCAGATGATTGGTTATTATCTTTGCTCAACATAGGCGTTTGATTCGTGATTGAGTAGTGGGAACTGGGAATTTCAAATCTTAATATTTTGGGGGTTTATTTGACTATATCGTGTGGTTTTGCTATTAATTTGTTTTCAGTTAAACCGCTTCAAAATCGGAGTAATTTCACGAACTGCATTCATTTCAAGCACCTGAAATTCGCAGGGATTTTTTTTGTTGTTGAAAGAATGATACTTTGTATTATTAAGATCATAAAGTACGCCACCGCAAGACCTCATTAAAAAACCCTCTCTAAACCTATATGGAGAAAAAATAGTGTACCTTGAGGGGAAGATATCAAACAACCATAGTCCCTGTTACATCAAAACAGAAAACACCCCAACCAAAATCTGTAACCCCCTAGACCCGGCCTATGCGTTTCGACTAAGTCTAGTGGATCACATTATGATTATTAAATACATTTTTCGAAACCGTTATTTCATCAATATAAAATCACATTATAAATAACCTGAAATTATAAACAAATTATACTATCAAAATCCAACTCGTAAATATAGTACCAATAAATAATAATGTAATTTAAAACATGTCTTCAAATTCAATATCACAATAAACCGAGCAGTATTAGCAAAAGAGTTATCATTATAAAATCCGATATTTTAAAATAAGGTCCATGTCACCAAAATAAAATCAACTTGCCAGATAAAAATATTACAATCTGATTTACTTCAAGAGATATGTTGATCCTCCAAGTGCTCAAACCAAGATATCTAACCAACAGTATCTGAAATGGGAAAACATTTTCAAAAGGTGAGCTAGGCTCAGTGTGTCCCAACATTTCCATAAAATCACAATAGGTACAAATCATAGTCCAGTAATCTCACAAATTCGTAAAAGAGTTTAACTTTTTGAAAATCATAGTTTAAACCCTTTTCCGGTACACCATCAGTAGTTCCCAAAATTATTTTCCATATATAGCTTACTTTATGCACATAGCAAAAAGAAAGCCGACTTAAGGATAGGCTCTGAAGCTTGTATCCTTAAGCCCAAGTCAATAAGTCCATATAGCTTACCCTAAGCACACAGCAAAGGAAAGCCGACCTAATGAAACATCTTGGGGCCCTCAAGAGTCACATTAGGCCCAGTTAGCTTGATCAGAGCTATTCCATCGTAATTCAATTCCAAAGTTCAATTGCACCGTGACACAAATTCCATAAATCCAAAAACATGGTAATCATATACCAGTTCAAAACAAAAATTAGATAGCAGCCATATTCCATGAATTGTCACATTAAATTGGTGCATCAATAAAACAATAACCAATGAATTCGGTGTACCACATATTAAAACCAATAAAACAGTTCAGTAATAAGTAGGGAACACACCTCGACAATAGATTCAAATAACAAATCTACTGATTGCTGGTTTCACCACGCTCTGCTATAGTTTTCGAACGGGTAAATACTGGTACACGTGGTTTAACTGATCTAGAAGAGCTGGGTCGAGCTGTCGAACGATCCGGAGAGTCTCTTGTACCTTCAAACAATAATATTTATCAGTCCCAAATCCTATTTAATTGTTCAAAGCTAAACTTCTTAAGTATATAAGCATTTTTCGGGTTTGACTATCAATTTGAGGTATTTCGAGTCTGAATTTGGCCAAACGGATTGCGGAATCGGAATCAGGGAGTCGAAAAACATAAAGTATGACTTTTCGAAAATTCAAATTCTTGGTCAAAGTCAAAGTCAACCACTTTGACCGTAGATTTGGAGACCTTCGGATTCGAATTTGACAAAACGGACCACGGAAACGGATTCGGCACTTCGAAAACTATCAGAATAGGTATACTCGGAAAAGATTAACGGTTGTTTAATGCTCGGTCAAATCCATTTTAAGTTTTTGGTCAAAGAAAGTCAACGGTCAACGGTCAACGGTCAACGGTCGGGTCGGGTCGGGTCAACGGTCGGGTCGGGTCAGACCGGTCAAACCGATTCAGACCGGACAAACCGGTTCGAACCGGTTGAAACCGGTCAAACCGGTCAGAACCGGTTGAAAACCGGTTAAACCGGTTTCCAGCAGCCACTCGCCCTGCGGCGGCGCGTGTGGCGCGTGAGGCGTCCTCCGGGGCCCTAAAAATCCCGGAAAAATTTCTAAAAATTATTTTGAGCGATTTCGAGATACTTACAACGATCGGTTCAAATTTTTGAACGGCGGAGAGCTCGATTTCAAATCGGCCGAATCTTTGACTGCACCACATCCTCACGCGTCGCCGTCTACGACGGACAAGGTTGACACCGGTGAACTCGGAACGGCACAAGGAACACGATGGTGCGGGAGGTGTCGTAAACGGAGCAACGATCAGCGGTGAATTTAAGATTTCCTCGGCGATAGAGCTAACAAAATCGTCGCTACTTTGACTGGAAATTCCCGACGTTTGGCCGTGTTTCGCTTCAATTAATTTGAAGGGTCTGTTCCTCGCTCGATGATGAACACAACGGTGGTTTTAAAATGATGATCGAAATTTGGACGGCGTCGGAATCGGAGTTGGAAACTACGTATGGGAAAGGAAAATTGGGAGCATTTTGGTTCTGAAAATCAGAACCAAATGTACGCTTATAATCAAAGCTGCCGACAGTTTTAGGGTAAATTCAAGGCTTGGTCCTTGGATTTCCTTCACTTCTAAAATGGCCTATAAACTCTCATAAATTTTGATTTAGTCACCAACAATTTACCAATTTTCACAATTAACCTCCAATTTCAATTAAATATTATTTTGTAAATATTCGGGTTGTTACAATTCTCCCCCTCTACAAGAAATTTCGTCCTCGAAATTTACCTTATGAGAATAGTTGAGGAAACTGAGCCTCCATTGACTCGAATGTCTCCCAAGTAGCTTCTGAGGGGGCCTCGATTACTCCACTGAACTTTGACCATTGGAATTCGTCTATTCCGAAGAACTCGTTCATCTCTCTCCAAGATCTAAATGGGCTCCTCTTCATATGACAAATCAGGTCTCAACTCTACTTCTTCAACCTGAATAATGTGACCTGGATCTAGACGGTATCTCCTCAACA